AATCTTCCACCCATAGCGAAAAGAGCTTCGAGAATGAGAGGCGATACGGATTCTCTATTTGTGTTCCACTGGTGGTAGAAGACGCTTTTGCTGAGAACAGGCACATAGGGATGCACATGGCTGAAGAACAGATCGAAGTAGTGCATGACAGTCTCGTCATCCGGCATCAGTTCAGGCGGAATGCGGATCTTGAGGCCCGGTCCGGTGATGATTGGCGGAAGAGGAGTCTTGTACTCGTCGTCTTCAACGGCAGGCTCCTCATCATGCAGGAAAGAGGCCTTGTTCCTCAGATACGGTGCTGCGTTGCACGTCAGTAACTCTGCTACGTACGAAAAGCTACGAGAGAGGGCCTACCCGTTCCAGCTTCGTTAACCTTCAGAGAACCCAGAAGATCAGCGAGGTCTGATTGCTGGTACGAGCCATCATTGGAGTAGGTGTCGGGAGGAGAATCTGGACGTTGACTCTGCTGAAGAGGCGGCGTTGGGAACACATTTTGACCGGTGTAAGACTGTTCCATCATCGACGACGACGGAGAAACCGTGGTGTAGTGCATGTTATGTTGATGGACTTGCTGATCGGAGTAGTGGACAGGCGGGAAGACGTTGGGATCCGAATATGCGCCCTGTGCAGCATACATCGAAGGGTTGGGCTTCTGACCGCCGGCCATCATAGGCTGTTGCTGCATAGGAACTTGCTGGCGGAAGCTGTTCTGCAGTTGCGATGAGGCAGCAGCGAACTCATCCCCAACGGGCTCATAGGCGTCGCTAGAGGTGCCATCGTACTGGCCATTGGGGCGAACGCAATGGAGCTTGAGTCTGATACACGCCGAGCAGGGCCAGGTGTTCGTCGTGGCCGCGTCGCACTTGATCTTTCTTCTTCTGCATCCTTCACAAGCTCTCATCACTTGATTTCATCAGTTTAGCTAGACTGCACACATGGGTTGAGTCTTTTGTTCAAGGAAAAGTGAGCATACCCTTCAATCGTTTATGACGGTTGTGTTCATCAACGAATACATAATCTACAGAAAATCACATTTGGTTAGACGAGACGTTGTGGGCAGACCGAAGCGGAGGGCGGTAGAGATGGATGGCGAACTCTTTTGGGTTTCCCTTTGAGGGAACTGCTGCGGCGCGAAAGAGAAGCTGCCCATCTGGGAGCTCTGAGGCAAAATGCGCCTCACGGAAGGATCGTTTGACATCGTGAATTTGGACGTGGCGAGTCGATTTGTTGGTAGCGGTGAGGTCGTGGAAGTAGTCTCGAACGGAGAGCGGAGTCAAAGAAGCGGTTACATTCAAGCCGGTTGCTTGAGTTCTGGGTATTCGTAGCTGGCGACGACCGTCCCGACCTGGCCGCGCACTCGGCGGCTCTTTCTCTCTCTCTTTCTCTCTCTCTCTCGCTCGCTCGCTCGCTCTCACTCGTACGTTGAGTGAGTCCTTCAGTGCTGGGAATGTCGGCGACTAGACAGACGTGTCTTGTGCAAAAGACTTGTTGGAAGAGAGGAAGTTGTAGGAAAAGAAAGTACCAGAGGGGAGTTGTGTCTCGAATTTCTCTCTGGGAGCGCGCTGGGCTAGGAATTGTCCGGATTGGTGGGTGATGGTGAGGGGGGTACGCGGGAGAAGGTCAAGCCTTATTATGAATGGACGACAGGTCCCGGCGTGAGGCGTGAAGGGTTGACGTGGGTAGACCTAGACTGGGAGGCGACCGGGGTAAGGAACAAGATCTGGGCTGGGTACACACAGGCAGGGTCATATCACTGAGCTGCTGGGGCCCAGAGGAAACCGATGTTCGATGATGGATGCAACCAGGAGTCGATGGGGGGAGCCAGGACCCAGGACTGCCTAGGATGGCAGGGTAGGCTAGACGGTGGTGGACAGTGCTGTGAGGAGGTGAGTGTGAGGAGAAGAGCGGCAGCGAAGGAGAGCGAGAGAAGGAGTGTGTGTGTGTGTGCGTATGCGCCTGTGTGTCCAGGGTCGCAGGAGGCGGACAGGGTTGCGTGAAGGTAAGGTATCCGTAGTTGCAGTGTGGTTATGAGGTAGCGTTGTCGAAGGGTGTTGGAGAGGGAAGACTTGACTTGGGACTTGGGTGTGGATTGTGGAGTGGATAATGGGAAGAGAGAGAGAGAGACAGAGAGAGAGAGAGAGAGACAGAGAGAGTGTGTGTGAGTGACTGAGAGGTGTGTGGGTGTGTAATTTGTTCCTATGCGGATGTGGAGGAGGGCGTGGGCCAAGGGTGGGAGGTCGAAGTTGCGCATTGCGGCGACGGCGTGAGCGGCAACAGCAGACGAGAAGCAGAGAGCTGAGCATGAGAGGCCTGGGGTCACTTCCTCCTCCTCCACTCGGTACCTACACCTTCGACCTAGTACCTTAGTGAAAGCCGGGCAGGGCAGGGCAGGGCAGCACCAGTACCATCTCGTTCTCAATAATAAGATATGTTCCAAGCAGCGCCAGCATTAGCACCAGTGCCATCGAGGCGGCCGAAGAGACATCAAAGATACAAGTATGGTCGACCATTGATGGTGGCAAGAACAAGTACCTATCCCGTCCCTCTATCCTCCGCCTCCGCCTTCTTGGCCTCCCCTGACGGATCTCATCTTTCTTGCTCTCTCTCTCTCTCTCCCCCCCCCCCCCCCCCCCCCCAGAGGTTCCAACTACATAGTACATAAGGTAAAGGAAGACTGGCTCCTCTTTGCCCCTCCGGCAAGCTCACCTCACAGTGCAGCATATCCATTGCGGCCCCGGTGCATTGCGGATTCAAGAGGATGCTGGATGCGGTATCCGTACCTCACAGAGTATCCATACGAATACATGTAGTCAATAGTGCTTCCGTCTGCTTTTTCCTGTATGTACTCCGTACCTGGGGACCAGACAGGCCAGGCCAAGATGCAGAGCTGGCGGGGGCCCAGCGTACAGGGCAGCGTTGCAAGTCCAGAGGTAAAATGCCCTGTCGCAAGCCGAATCTGGCAGTGAGATGAAGGATTGGCCAGGGGATGCGAACCTTCAACTCTCGACGGGACTCGGGATTCATAGGCCAGTAGGTACGAATACGTACGCAGGTACGAAATACTTGAGTGACGGCTGTTGCCTTCTATTCTCATTTGCCGGGTTGATGTTTGACGGCTTCTTTGATGCTGGTCTTGTGAAATTGGACCCAGGCGTGCCAGGCCCTGGGAAATGGCGTCGACAAAGAGAAGAATTGGTTCTCAATGCAAGTCAAAGAATCGTGGTAGTATACTTCCCACCCGGCATGGAGCAACACCGGCTTAGTGCGCACTGCGCAGTCGTTTCCCCCTGCTTCTTCTTTCTGAATCCGAGGTACTCCGTCCGTATCCGTACTTTCTACATATTATTAGTCGAGTTCTTTCTTTGGTCTTGGTCAGTACGGATACCTAGACGACGTCGACGACGACTGTGGCCAAAAGGGGTGACCGAGGCAAAAATGAGGAGACTGGGCTGACACACAGACACCACATAACGGGCAGAAGAACAAGAGACGGATAGAATGTCTCCTGTTTCTTTTCTTGGGTCGGACGGGGAAGGCGGGGGGGCGAGGTTCGAGGCATGACACAGACAAGGAAGTGCTGATAAAAATGAACCACCATTTCCAAAACAGCCCTCTCTCGCACTCACTACTCAGTAGTGTGCGGTGTTATGGGTGTCAAGCACGTCTCCTCTCCTTAACGTCGTAGGGCAGTGCGAGTGTGTTCGAGCTGGAGACAGTCGACTGGTGTAGGGCAGGGCCAAGACCAGACGTTGGAGGGAGATCGGACACAGGAGCGAGGATGCCGTGGTGTATCAAGGCACCACATGCTTCAGAAGGACGAAGAGGGTCGGGCTTCCAAGGGACGACAAGGGTCCACGTCCGCCCAAAGTCCGCAACATCAGCGTGCTCTGTGCGAATATCCGTCCTCGAGCAGCAAAATAGAGTCGAGGCAGTTCGGTCTACCCGTACTTCATCGTCGATGAGATGGAACGTATATCATAGCGGCGGCGGTAGCCGATGTGTCGTCGGCGACTTCAGTCTCAACTCTCAATCGCCAGGACCATCCATTGACAGGCAAAACCCGAGTCAGAATGCGGCGAGCTGCTGTGAGTGATTGAGTGCATCTGTGCAAGGGACCAGCACGAGGCATGTAAGGTACATGGCCTCTTGTCGGAAGTAAAGGTGAGAGGTACCCGTAAGGCAAAAGGCATTGGGTTCCGTGGACGGGTGTGTATGCGACCAATGCGCTGCCCAGAAGCCCTCCTCGACTCTCGAGTCCTCCCTCTTTGCCCCCCTCACACTCCAAGGCTTGAGGCCAAGTTCCTGCTCCCAACAGTCGAGGGGGGGAATTCCGAGATGCCCTGTCTGTGTCCGCGCCCATTGTCCAACCCGAGTCGACTCCTTGGAGGGCTTGTATCCGTACCAGCGCAGGAACGGGACACCGTCGACGACCATGTCACGCATGTATTCGTGCGTAGCCATTGTTGAATGCACTGTATAAGATAACGACCTGAGCTCAGCTGCCCAAGGACGCAAAGTGATGGGCCTTCGCCTCGTCGTCATTGTCACCCAGGGCAGTGTCGCGAATACAGTATTGCTCCACATTGCGTGTATACTGTGAAGGAGCATTCGCACGAACTGAGCCAGAACAATGCGTCGTCGTCCCCAAGCTGCCAAAGTACCCTCTCGTGCCTCTGTACCTTTGCCTCTGTCTCCGCAGCTGAGAGGCTAGCCTGACCGTACTTTGCGTCCAACATCGTCCAAGAAACTCGGAGACTTCCCAGCAGGCTGGCCCAGCCACAATGCAAAAAAAATAAAATAAAAAAAATAAGATAAAATGCGCGCCAGCAGTAAAGAGGGGATTTATTAGCGGAAAGGCAACGGGGAACGGACGGGGGGACGGGTGGACGAAGGGGAAATGTTCGAAATGGCGGTAGGAAATAGCGCGAGGGTGGTAGGGTTGACCATGGAATTAAGCACCAAGACAGCGAAAAAGGTCGCAGAATCGTTCTTGCCCCATGTCATCATAATAAGTGGCCATGCTCATTCGATATTGATGTCGAGTTCCAACTTCCAAGATACCGAGGTGCAACCAAATGAGGCAAGTTGCCTGAGGTACGACTTCTGTATCGCGCTTCATGAAAGCTCCAGCCCTGGCGGAGATTCCTCGCACTCCCAGTCTGCCACTTGAGTGTCATGGTACTTCGCGCCCTTCTTAGTGCCATCATCCATGTGCCGGATGCCTCGATGCCTCCGCTGACAGGCTGGGAGCTCAGCTAAGCCAATGGATCGCGTAGGGTATCCATCCTGCTGCCGCAGTAAGCACACACGACGACAATGACCAGATGATCCGCATCTTGAGGAGTCGAGCCAGGTGGTACTCCGTAATAACCACCTTGTAAGGAGTCTCTAGCGTCGCGAGAGCAAACCAGGCAGGCGGATTAGCATTGGCAGGCAAGGTATCTGTACCCGTACCCGTCCGTAGGCTGTAGCCGTACCTTACCCGCCTTGTTGCCCTGCCCAGTAGGGCAAGTCCAACAATTTCTTCATCCACAGCACCAGTCAACCTGACATCTCTCGTGGGGTTGGTGGTCCCGGTCACGCCCAATGCCCCAAGGGGACCCTCATACTCCTGACCGTCCTGGGGGCTGCTAGGAGACACCTGAGATTGAGGACGGGTACGGAGACGGTACCTGAGGCTTGACCCCGTCTTATCCTGCCTGGATGGGTCAAGTGCATCATCCAGTCTTGTTCTCGAAGGAGTCGAGCTCAACTGTCCACCGAACCCGTCCGGCCACAACGGGGGACGTGGAAGGTGGAGGGCTGCGAGGGTCTTAAAGCAGAAACTCTGCTCGGGAGCCCGCTCTGTCGGCCCCAGACCGCCCTAGTCTACGTAGTAGGCGAAAGGCAGATGCACACCACAGAGTGTCTGAAGTTGTGAGTTGCGTGGGAATCCGTAGAAGGGTAATACCACCTAGAAGCGTTTTGTGGTGTTCGTGGCATTTGCTAGGTGCCGACCACCATGCATGCGGTTTCCGGTCTTTCTTCTCTCCTGGTTTGAATTAATTAGATATGGATCGTCCTCAAACCGAGGACCAAGCACTCATGACCATCTTTTTGGCAGACGTTGTCCCGTCTGCCGTGGTGCTAAAGGGATGAGACAGCAGCACCGTCGAGAGCCGGCGTCGGCGAAGCAAAAGACGGTTGTCGCACCTTTGCCAAAATGGCAGTGACAGGTGGCCGGTAGAATGGCTGAAGATTCCGTTGAAGGCTTCTAGTCTGGAGGCTTGAGCAAAGCCGAGCGCTGTTGTGTTGAGCTTAGATGGCGTGGAGAGGCGCTTGCACCGGCTCGAATCTCTCCTACCTTAGTCTGTAACTTTGATCGACAGCAAGCCATCTCCGGGGTTGAAGATGCCCTGTCAGTGGCTGTAACATCGAGCCGATTCGAGAGGTGTTGAGGAGGCCGAGAAGCGGACCGAACCAAGGTGCTGACGTCGAAATCTGGCGGCGGCGGGAGGTTGTTAGGACGAGATAGCCCGAGAGAAAGGTGAGGTGCAGAAGGCCAGCCATGGGGGTGTATCTTAGAAGCTCCTACGGGTTTGCAGCGCTATGCCGTGCCCATGGCCCATGATCCATTGAAAGGCCCTTTGGTTTTGCATGGGTGTGGCGTGGGATGCACAGCAACGCCAACAGGTGCATGGGGAGGGGAGCCTTCGGAATGGGAGCTTGGAGATGGGAGATGGTCAAGATGCATCATCCATTGGAACGGAGACACGGTATCTGCCGCATTGTACCGCGGTAAGGTACCGCAGTTGCAGTCGCGAATGGAAGTTTTGGTTGCAGCCAGGTGCGATCCATGGGATCTCCACTCCCCGCTTACCTTATCATTACAGGCCGGCTCGTACTTACCCTGGTCCACCACCTCCACCGGCTGGGTACGTTAGTGCGTGCTTGTCCACAGTCCACAATCCACACCAGAGCTTTGCAGGGACTAAGACGTCGAGCTAGGCCGTACTGGGCGCTAGGTCTTCGAAGTGCTCCTGATGCTTGGGTAATCATCTTTTCATTCGTACCTACCTTACCTAACTTACCTTGCACTTCCAAGTTCCATCTGTTGATACCGTCCAGTCTGCACGAAGTAGGTACGGAGTACCTTACTCCTCCCATATGTGCCGCATTTCCTTGTTTAGGGATGTGTGGGCAGGTACCACCCTGCCTTACCCTAAGGTACCTACCTACCTTACTTACAGTGCTCTGTATGTGCCTGCCTTTTGATCGATTCCACACCTAAGATATCTTGCTTGCCTCTAGCGCCAGGCTAGGAATCTCAACCTGCCAATCTCCTGGCCGGCCTGGATTTTGCCGTTGCCATCTGTTTTATTGTTCCTCTGTACTTTCCAATCCCATTCTCCATTTCTTTCTGCAAGCATTTCTCGGTGATTGCAATGGAATATACGGATACATCCACGGTGCCTGCGGCCTGCCAGTGTCTACAAGATGCTAGTAAACTCAGTGCACTGCTGCAGCCGTGGGCATCACTCCCATTTCCTATACCTTGACTTGGGTAAAGTACCTGTCCTGTTCGCATGTTGTCTATTTCGATGTACCGAATGTATTCAGATGTACTCACGGCTTGTGCCTGCAGTGGCTTGAAGTCGAGGAAGCTGCAAAGAGGAGGGGGACGGCACGGTACGGCAAGGTACGTACTCTGCACTGCATCTCAGATGTGATAACGCACCTCACCACACCTCAACTCTCCCACCCCCCCCAGTGCCGCTCCCTTCACCCACGAACCAACTGATCAAAGCAAAGGTCCCTCTTCTGGAAGTATCCGCCTACCCAACTCCCACCGTCCTCCATTGGACTTCCATCCTCAAGCCACCATTTGGCATCAAGTATGATTACCTATTTACGCCGGCCTCACCCAGGTTTGAAGGCCGAAGACACCAATGCCTATCCCAACACTCAACTGGCTTCGACACCCTGCCGACGAGCCCCGTAAGCGAATCCACATTCTCTTTCCCCTCGTCTCTCGAGTCCCAGCAGCTCCAGCCTCCAGGCTGCCAGGGGCCTCCCCTTGGCCAGGATTGACTTGGTGCCGCTCGCACGGGAATTGGAGCTGGACCACCCTACTGTGCTAGCTGGGGTTCGGTTCTGGAATCCCAAGACAAGGTTCGTCGTGGAATGGCCATCCTGGAATGCTTCTTGAGCCAGCTTCCTTTAGTTCCAGGCCCAGCCGCCATATGGCACCTATCTTCAAGTGCCGCTTAGGCATAGGAAGCATCGAAAAGCAACGACGTCGCGGCGTTTGCCATTGTCACGGTGTCACCCACACTGGATAAAACGCTCCAACTTAGCCGGCGGACTCCCATTGATCAATCTCTGAATCTCCTCAAGCATCGAACCTACCTACGGGCTGCGTAGGCACGTCCTACTTCACGCACTGCCATTTGACGAACCCCGGCCTTTGATGTAATTACGGCGTCGAATACTTGGAAGTTGGGACACCTCGAATTCGCTTCCCGATCCAGTATTATCCAACCATACCGCCATGTTATTGCTACCCCATCGAAGCCTTCTTCGGGCCTTCGACGAAGGTTCTGGCCTCATCAGCGCCTTTACGCACTGGCGGCGCTAATCCAACTGACACTCGGCCAAGCTACTCCTCACACTACTCTTTCTGTTACTTCGTCTCACCGGTCGCCTCGTCATCATGCCCTTTTAGGCTCCCAGCGCCGCATGGAGCATCTGACGGATACTCTTCGTCGTGTTTCTGTGTCTACTCTGCATATTGTCCGTCCCATGCGGTGGGCTTGTTGGCTACATCGTCGGACTATACTAGGTATTGCTCCAACGGCCTCACCGGCTCAAGAATGTCAAAGAACACGGAGCCCGGACAGTGTGACATTTGGTGCCCTGCGGAAATTTGATGTCAGACGTCCGTCCAATTTGGCTCTCCGTATCTAGAGGCACTGGAAGCTGTACCATCACGCCACGAGGACGAGACCGTGGGGGACAAGTCCTAGTACTAAGAACTACAACATATGACATCGGATATACCATCCATGCCGCCACGTCGATTTCATTGTCTGCACATGGTGCGCCAGCTTGCGTAGACCTAGCATGATAGGTACTGCTGTACACTTCCAGGAAAACGGCAGCCCATGATGAAGCTAGGGACGCTATACTACATCCTTTTCCCGGGAGGTTTCGAGCTCCTGGAGACCTGGACTAATAGCAAGCAGACCCATCTGGGTTGGAAAGGTCCATCAAAGATCAAAGTCACAACCGTGGAATGGCCTACGCTCCGGTACAAGTCCAACCAGCGAGGAATACCTCAAGCCACCCGCTGCTGCAGTCTGTAGTCTGCATATCGTTCAGGGCTTGATCATTGCCCTAGCATTCACGTAGTGGCAAGCAATCTCTACACCTCTGATATCGGGGTAATCCTTGAGCGAATTTGAGGGTACGCGTCCACATTCTAGGACGATCAATACCTCTAGAAATTGAATAGGCCGGTGGCGGACCGGTGTCGCTTGACAGGCGCCTTGGCCCTGTCCAGCAGCCAAGTCAATATATACACCTTGCGCCGCAGCTAATAAGAAGGACGGATGCAAGAGCCAAAAATGCAGGAACATGCGTGGGATAGGCTCGCCTGACCATCACCCTCACAACCTGCAGCCTGTCTCTGTGGGCGAGAAGAAATAGGATGATGAGGAGCCGATGTCTTCGTAGGACGGCTCGGTAGTCTTGTGGAGATCGCGGGGTCTGGTCCATGGCGAACCATAACCTGCGTCCTTTTCTCGCTCTAGCCAATTCACCATCCTTCCAATCTTACGAATGAGCCAGGACGTCCTGCTCTCAGCACAGCTTATCGCGAAGGACTGATCCACGGCTGTCCATACGAAGGCCAACAGCTCAACGCCGTATGACCTTTCTGACAAGGATTGGCAGGCTTATGGAAGTCGTATATCGGTCTGGAAGGGGAGACCCAACTTCCCCCATCTTGGAGCCGTTGGTGGGAATTAGCTTGCTGTTTTCCTCGGCATCCCTCACGGTGCGCCATCCTCCAATCTCGTCCTGGAGATGCTGGCAACGGCAGTCTCCCAGCAAATAGAAAGCAAGCAGGACCACCTTTTACCAGCCAACCGAAATGGGCAGTGTCATAAGTCCACGGTGAGCAGGGGAGCTGGTCAAAAAATGGGGTGAGCAAGCCAGTAGTGTCATCATTCACATGCTAAAAAACTAGCGGTGGCCACCTGGCTCGATAATATCGCAGGCCCTCAAACAGGAACCTACCGAGGAAGCCGTCACCCACGCCAAGTCTTGCCTTACCCTATTCGATCCCATCAGGCTTGTCCCCGACATGCCGTTCAGCCTTTTGTAACCCTCAAAGGAACACAGTCTATCCACCCAATATCTCAAGTTTGACATGAAAGGGGCTATCGCTGGCTAAGAGCTCCAGACATTTGTTGGATGTTCGATCAGCCTTCATTTTCGTTGAATATCCAAGGGGGACGTTTATCCGTACAACTGGCGCACTGGTGGTTTCAGGCCGCATGGCTCGCCCTGCATCCTGGGGCTGTGTCTGCCTCGGATCCGAACTCGTGCCAACGAACCACGCACCTAGCGCTAGGAGCTAGCATCTGTCACGCTCGGTTGTTCCCTTTCGCGCAACTGGTTCCTGGAATCGTTCGTTCAGGGGGGACTCCTGCTCTTCGCCCCCAAGATCTCGGGCACGCTGTAGAGCGTGGCTGGTAGGACAAGGGGGAGAGCCAAGTACGGGATAGGATTGCCTTTGGATGCACGAGGGGTGTGTCCAGAGCCAGAACGGTCCGAATGGGGATCCAGTCGCTGGTCTAAATGTCCACTCTGCTCCTGATCCATGTCCGTCAGGTTGTGTTGAACATTCCGTGACTCGCATACGGTACATTTGCTAGGCGATCCGACCATGCAGGAAAACCCGACGAGAGCGACGGTCAACCGCCAAGAAGAAGGCAAATATCACGACGAATATTCACAAAGTTACGCTTCGACAGGATGCGTTACAATCTCCGGCATCGCGGGGGCGTGGAGGAGGAACAGATGACTCGGCCGAGTGCCAGGGGAGCCTCACCTCGGGCAGGGCCTGTCCCGTCCGCCCGCTCCGGGGAACCTTTAAAGAATGGGCAGCAAACCAAGACACAGCACTGCCGGACAACTACAACACCTAGACCGTTACGGGATAGGGCATCCGACGCGGCTGGAACAGGGGCACAGGTACATGTCGACGACTCTGAAAGGTGGCATGCCGGGGAACAGTGAGAAACAAAGCAGCCTCAACGGCGGAGACCTCGGGGTGCAGTCTCGCAGCGCGCGGCTTGCAGACTGTGGGCGCCTCCCCATGATAGGTGCCAGCCTGCTATACAGGATGGAGGCATGCGTGTTTGAAACGTTTGGAGCGGAACCTCAAAGTGGCTTCCGCGAGGCTTCTAGACAAGGATTGCGGCGCGGTGAAATCAGCCCTCATCTTGTTCTATTGCTTCCATCATGCTTCCAAGTGACGCCGAGCTTCGAGAAGAAGCGGGAGAAGGAATGTGCGATATCCGTGTCCGCGCACCCAGAGAGCCAATTTTCCTTAGCCCCCCATCGAGTCCGCCTTGCGGTCCTTGCATATCAATATCCGTAAATGGTTCAGACGACGGAGTCCAGACAAAACAACGTGGGGTTTTGTCCGGCACGACGGCTTATCTTACGAATAGAACGGCTCAAGGTGGCTTTCGTCATTAATAGAGTGTATTCATTTTTAAAGCGGTCCGACAAACGTGGTTCGGGCGAGCATGGGGAGGGAATGAAGCAATGATGACGGCTTGGTCGCTTCTATCAATTCTCTGTGAGGATAGTAGGTAATCAAACTTTGAATATTTCCCCTTGCAGGCCGGTTCTCCTATTTCTCAAGGGTCCTGTCAGCCTTACGCCGTTGCTACATGCACCTGAGATGATCTTAGCTTCCTAGTTCCAAGAGCGTGTATTCGTCCGATGGGTGTGGTAACATGGGGGCCGAATGGAATACGGTGGTGGTGCAGGCAGGAGAAAAGGAAAACAGTCCCAAAGGTCAATCTTCATGGATGCTTTTTAGGGCTTTTGTTCCGTCCTCCTCAATTTCGTATCCATCAGCGGGAAGGATGGATCATGGGTGGCATGGCGCACGCCGCATGCAGGGCCGCCAGGCACAGATAGCCCGCAGGCCACGTCCACCATTCGGACGGTTGATGGGGTCGTTTTGGGGTCCTTTGAGGGGTAAAGGGGGCGGGAAGGAAATGGGCATATTTCGACTTCATTTTTCTTTCCACCATGTCCAAGAGGTTATTTTAGATTTATTGGGAGATCATCGACAACCTTTTTTCAGTGGATCGCTGACGACACGGCTCTGAAGATAGGACGGCCCCGCAATCTTTGGACGGATTAGGCAAGTGAGGGGCAATATTTCGAGAGTGCTTTCCATCAGTCTAAGATTAGTGATTCATGCGTACGGAGTAGGTACGTAGTAGGTACGTAGTACTGCCACTGACTGCTAAGCACGCGGTTCGCTTATCTAATCCTCGTCCACTGGGCGGGGTCGAGCCGGGGGCATTTGGCCAAAAATATTGATTCCCTCATGCCAGGTCATTTCTTTCCCATCCACCGCAACGTCCATCGCCAACCAGTCCGCAATCCACCCCAATCGTTGACAGGGAAGACCGAGGACAAAAAAACCATCGTATTGCGAATCTGCAAGATAGACGCCATTGACCAATATCGTCTCACCGTCCCATTCCGCCGCTACCGAATTAGCAGGGGCCGAGGCAGAGGCCAAAAAGGAACCTCCCTTTTTGACAAGGCTATCTCCTTTCCCACCCCACACACAGCTGCTTCCCTGCTCGTATCTCGAGATACTTTGGTGGTATTCGGAAATCTCGTCGAGAAAGCGAGAGGGAAAGAGAGAAAGAGAATCGGAATCGAAGGAGGACCAGGTTGGGGGCCACACTATTTGCAACTTTGCCGGGGCAGCAACTAAATCAAACTAGCGACTTTGGACTTCATCCTGGACAAGCGACAAGCACGGATATCTTTGACACCATGGACAAAGATCTTGACAATGCGAATCCGACCATCCTGAGCGCGGCCCAGATGCCGACGCGTCAAAGCAAGCGTGAAGCACCCAAGACGGGTCCATTTCACAAATTCGACGATGTCATCTTCGCTAAACCCTGGTACCTCTCGGCACCCTTCTGTGATGATGATTCACTATGGTCTGAGCCGGAGGCCGACCAATCTCACTTGGCGGAAGAACCCATTGATGAACAAGAAATCTACGGTGAGGACCCCTTCTTTCATATTGCCTCCCCTATTCTTCCATACTGTGCTTCACATGATCAAGTATTGGGAGTGGCATGTTATGAGCTCCATCCCAGCCTGGCCCTGTCTCTCGAGTGTCTCAAGCACGGTCCTGCGTAGTCAGGCAAGCGCCACTTGATGCAGAACAACCCACTCATCAGACTATGTACTTTAGCAAGTGCATGTTGCAGTTGCGCGTCGTCTTTGCTACTTGATGAGTGGTGCCCAATGATGCTTATCCTCATTGCATTGGCTTCAGACTCCACGCTTGGAATGCCATCCTGTCCTGGCGAACTCCTACTACGCGTTCCCCTGCCATATCGAAACCCTGGAGAGGATCACGCGACTGACGTTTCATAGATTTGATCTCGACCATCTCAGATCCAGAGCACCCCCTCTCCCTGGGACAACTGGCTGTTGTCAACTTGCCTGATATTCACATCAGCCCTCCTCCCTACCTGGCCATGGACCCCAACAAGTTGGTTCAGGTCTTGGTCGAGTTGACACCAACTGTCTCTCACTGTTCTCTCGCCACCGTGCTTGGGTTGGGTGTTCGCGTGCGCCTTGAGAAGGCACTTCCTCCCAACTGGCGGGTGGATGTTAGGGTCAAGGAGAACGCGCATGCTCAAGACGATCAAGTGAACAAGCAGCTCAGTGACAAGGAACGAGTTGCTGCCGCGCTAGAGAACGATACCCTGAAGGGGGTCCTCGACAAGATGCTTGAAACCTGCGTCTGAGCAGCGAATCAAATCTCGGATACAGAAGCAAGACTAATGTTCGTTTGATGCGAATCTTGACGTCTGTCATGTCATGAAGCGTGACGCCCAATAGGGCAATGCCTCGGGAGAAAGTAGTCCGCCCACCGGCTCGCACAATCAATCCACCCGAGATGGAGCACAAGTCATGGAGGGCAGCTCTTAAAAATAGACGATCGACATTCTGCACCGTTTTTTACCAAGGCATTTGCCACCTTGGCTGGGGAATTTATCGATTACTTGCCATGGAAAGCCAACATGTCACCCCGGCATTTTGGGAGCTTCTCTCGAGGGAAATTGATCGACAGGTACACAGTGGGAAACGATCTCCATTTCCTCCTAAGCGCGGATATTGTAGCCGGGCAAAGAAACGTTACCTCGCACTCTCCACCCCAGGGCCCTTGGGAAAGTCGGAAAACAGGGTGCCAGCGGGATCGGCTGGCGGTTCATGACTCTTTCAACCCGCGGCAAGACTCCGAGGTAGGGCTGTGCGGGCGGCGGAATTGTTCACACATATTGGCATAGCTTGGCCTGTGTGTGTGTGTTGGTTCGTATGTGGCAGCTGGTTCTTTTTTTTCCCCCTTCGTCTGACTTTTAAGCGCAGGCAAATGCCAGCACGTTCTGACGATTCGGATTATCCGAACATCTCGTTTGCGTGGTACTAGCTGGTAGCAAAGGACCAAACGCTATGAGGGAATGGATCAACCAGTTTTTTCCCTTTCCCTTACTACCTTGATTGCCAGGGATGTGTGCTCTTCTTTTCCTTTCGAGTGGCTTCGTCATCCCCATTCTGAACCCTGTTCGACGTTGAGCGTGGGTGCAACACTATATCAAAGGATATATACCTAGACCGTTGATAAACATACGCGAGGTATCCGTACGGATAGCCGATCAAGATACCGAGCACATCCCTGACGCCGCTTACCGCGACAGCCGACGTGCTTACCAATCCTAAAGGGTCCAGGACCGCCACCGTACGAGGGAAAAGTTCAGCAAAACTCTACCAATGCCAAAAGTCTGTCTAGGCACTCCGCACCGCCTATCGGTACCTGCCACTGGTGTGATCGATTAAAGGTCAGGGACCATCGGATAGACGGTTATGACGTATGAAGATCTCCAAATTTTAGTTTGTGGCTTTTTGTGAGCCTCGGGCCAAGGAAGTAAATGCGACTAGAGGCTTTTGATTGGGAAGAAAATAATGATAATGAGAACCCCATATCTGCTGTGTAAACCAACTTTTTTTTTCCACATGCCTCCCCTGAGCGGCGAGTGGACAAGAAACTTGCCATGGCGTTACATTGTGGCGCCCGACTTGACAGCATCTGAACGTTCCCCCCTTGGCCCCCGTCCCCCAACGAAAAGGATGATGGAAAGCGGCCTTGACATAATTCAAAAGTTAACCGGCACTGGGTAAGACGGAACGAGGGTGGCTTGTTGAAGCTATGAGAGCCCAGCCCAAGTTTTCCGCGTACCGATCCCGCGGGCATAGGCAATTCGAGGGGAATACTCAAAAAAAGTGATTTTGATTCCCGAATTTTCCCACTTCGCGCGAAACTTTAAAGATGAGCAGAACATGAGCAAGCTGCTTACTGTGCAGCTTGAGACCTTGCTTTCCTCATCCTGTCACCTGAACTCTACCGATCCTGATGGAATATATTATTTCTGTAGGAGGTGGTGCCACGGGAGGGGCGAATGAGAGAACCAGGTAAACGGAATCGAATCCCGCCCCGGCGGCGACGGCATGGCATGGGACCTGGGTTCGAATTGGTGTCTCGGTCAGACAAGACACCATACAGTTCAATTTATCCGGTGCCGGCGCCGCGGGAGCTAGGAAGGGGGGGTAGGTCAAGGGGTTGTCGGCGTTCATTGGTGTGTCACGGTGTATTAGTGTAGAAACTGTAGATGCGGCCCAGGAAAGACAACCCGCGTTTTTTCTTTCCCTACGGCCGTTGGTGAAGATCTTCTTCCTTCGGGCCTTCGGGAGGTGAAAAAGTATCACACACCCCCAAACGCCGCAGGAGAATTTCGCATTGGTAAGTAGGTATTCGCATCCCCCTCCCTTCCCGCGTCCAGATCTCCCCGAGCCTTGCGTGGCCTAAGCTCTCTGGATACTGTCTTGCTTGCTTTGCCCGTTTCTTTTCTTTCCATGTCTTGACCGTACGGAATCACGGTACACACGTATTGTGGTGACGCGATCTTCGCGCAAGCGTTTCCCCCGTCCGAGAACCCCTTGTCCATGTCTCTCGTTTTCGTTGACAATGTCGGTGATGATGATGCCATTGACGACTTTTGGCTCTCGGCGACCCTTGTGAACTTCATCAACCTTCCTCTTGGCATTTGATATCTTGAAGCGTTTGTGTTACACGGCATTAGATGACGACCAAGTAGTCGATATCTTGTAAATACCAGAATGGCAGGAGAGTTGTGGCTCTGTTAAGAGATAGGTGTAAGTCTGGAGAGGTCTGATGTCACGCGTCGCACTATGACGAATTTTTCAATGAGTTTGAGAGTATCGAGGCGGAAGGTCGCAATGGGAGGCAGCGCGGGATATCTTGCACATGTCATTCGCTTGAAGCCTCATCCTTCATTCCTAGCTGGCACTTTTTGGGGCCGCCTTCTTTTCACTCTTCTTTCTGCATGAATTTATCTCGTGATTGTGACAGCGTGAAGCACTATGACGCAACTTCCCGATACACTTGACAGGCGTCGAAGACGAAGAAGAAGTATTTGCCAAGACAGGAGCTGCTTTCCCCAGCTCCCTATTCAAGAAGCTGGGGTTTTGGGGGAGAAACACCTTTGACACTCAAGAAAGGAAGCTACCAAGGAAAATTGTTGAGGAATTTTGGGGGTTCCTGGGGGAAAGCAGGGGGGTTTGATGGATGGATGGGTGAGAGTTGCTACTCCGTATGCAGGTTGAAGTTAGGCTTGGTAGGGGTTTCGAAGCATGTGCCGAAAGGTTCGTCACAGCAGCAGCAGCTTCAAACTGGGCAGGTCAAGGGAAACCCCTCAGACTACGGAGTAAGGTAGCTAGGCTGTTTCTATTCACAGAGCCCACACACTCACACACACACTCACTGTTGTGTTTTTTCCCCCAGTTTCCTGCAGGTGATACGGTACTGCTGGTGGTTGGGTCGGGCTGGGGTTCGGCGGCAGGGGGGGGGGGGGGGGGTTACGTTGGAGAAGGGGAAGGAGGGGGAAGGAAAGGCAAGAGGAGGAAACTTGGTGACATGGTGGTGGTGGTCATCGTGGTTGGTAAGGACGACCAGCAAGGGAAACCTCCAGATCTTTCGTAGAAGCGTGCTTTGGGTGTCAAGATATGTATGCATGTCGGCTGATGAATGTGACTTGCAGCAATAGGGTTGTAGAACGAGGTGTGTGCGTATGTTGCGTGAGTACCAGTAGGTGAGTGTGTCTCCTTGCATATTGCGAAGCAGCATCATTTTGCGAGGTGCGGCGGTGACGGGATTGATGGATGGGTGGTTTTCCTTTCGTCGTGTTTATTGACCAATTGCCTCTTTCGCAAGGTTCAAGACACGCATTGGCTCCTATCTCTCTTTCAGGGACAATGACATACATGTTCCTTTCCAGGCCCTTTGCCACTAGGCTGTTGGGTATTGCATGGGGGAATGTGGAAGACGACTCATTGTTGAATTGCGAATTGCTCCCAGTGCTCATCACTACCTAGTCAAGTACACTTATGATATCGCTGCTGTCTCTGTTCATCTTCTTTTGGCGACTCGGTGAGGGAATCGCCAAGACGTACGGAGTAGACAGAACTGCCATCGGCCGGCCGGAGCCCGCCGATCCTCGTTTAATCCCTGACCCAGCGCAAAGTCCACTTGTACGTGTACGGAGTATTCTCTGAGAGTCTCTATCTCTCCATCACTGGTCCTGTTCAAGCCTCAACTAAGGATATTAGCTCTATCTTCAAACAGAGTCTAACTTGTGAGGAGCAACACTAGTAAAGAGAGATATGTGCCGGTGCGGGTTCTTACCGTTAACTCCGATCTCCAGGTTCACGGCAGTTTGGCAAGAACAGAGCGAACTAACAGGTTGTGATGGAACTAAAACACCGTCCGGTTTTTCTTGTAGGTTTGGAAGGGGTTCAACAGGGTTGACACCTTAAGGTTTGGGGCGTCCTTTTCCCGCCCCCCTTCCACTGAATGGGATTTTTTAACAGAGGACCACAGAGCGTACTCCGTCCGGATACTCAGGCGCAGGCGCAGGCGGCACGACACCACCACCAAGCATTTCCTCGTACGTACGGATACAGACACACGGACTCGGTCGCTCCCTCTTGTTCCAAAAAGAATGTTCCATGCGTTTGTTCTACCGAAGGCGCTCGCATACACATCAGACACCACACCACACGTAGACACACTCGGTCCCTTTGTCAGATTGACTTGGCGTTGAACACATACACACACACACACACACACACACGCACACAACTTACCTACGGAGCTACCGAAGGATGTTGTGTGGCGAAGCAGAAAAGTTCAGCGAGTCAAACAAGACATTCGCATCTCAAGCAACAAGCCCGCCGGAAAGTCCTGGTGAACCGCATGAGCCTCTTGATTATGTACCTCATGTACGCCTTACTCCTTGACGCAAGCCCGCGCATGAGGTTGTAGAGTATGACGCGCAAGAGGAAGAAGTCACAGAAGTTAGCATGATGGGCTACGATAGAGTTTGGCCCCCAATTGGCGTCGTCACCTTGGCGAGGACATGAAGCAAAGATGAGAGCGGCGATTCGAGCTGGTCCAAAGGCCGTTCAGATCTCTCGCCTTACAGCAAAGAAGCAAGGGAGCAAGTAGCTGCGCATACGGACATTGTTTACCCGCGCGCGCAAAGCCACATGGAAGTCAACTAGAGTCTGGGGGAGTCTAAACCAGAGAGTGAGAGTCAGGTCGCCGAATGCTGTGTAAGTTGAAAGGGTCCTCCTCCCCCCCTCCCTTTCCCCCACATGGCCTGAGATGTCA